CTCCCCCGTTCATGCTCTGTCTCTCTCTGTCTCAAAAATAAAGCTTAAAAAAAAAAAAAATTTAAAAAAAAAGGAATGATGTAGTGATACATGATACATAACTGATAAATCTCAAGATAATTACGCTGAATGAAGGAAGTCTGACACACACGCAAGCATACTAAATGAACCTATTTATATAAAATGCTAAAAATAAACCAAAAAAACAAATCTAATTTAGAGTAAAAAGGTGATCAGTGTTTGCCTTGGACTAAGGTGCTAACTTACTGGGAAATGGTACATGCAAACACGTGGGGTTGGTAAAAATGTTCTATATCTGGATTGTAGAGATGGTTACACAGTATAGAATGGAAATTATGCCACAACAAAAGTGATTTAAAACTTCTTAAAATGAAGGCTAAAAAAGTCTTTGATTAAAAAATATACATCTTTAGGTATTTTTAATTATAGGTTTTTTCTTTTTGATGAGTATCTTTTATATTACCATGACTATTTTCATAGCATTTTAGTACAGTAGATAGATTATAAGATTTAGCTATATATATACTTTAAGAATCTGAACTTTGAAAAAAATAATTAAAAATATATTTTTTTTAATTTTTTAAAAAATCTGAACTTTATGGGCACCTAGATGGCTCAGTCAGTTATGTTTCCAACTTCAGCTCAGGTCACGATCTCGTGCCCTGCGTCGGGCTCTGTGCTGACAGCTCGGAGCCTGGAGCCTGCTTCAGATTGTGTGTCTCCCTCAGTTCTGCCCATCCCCTGCTCACACTCTGTTTCTCTCACTCTCTCAAAAATAAATAAACATTTAAAAAAACCTAAAAAAAAAGGAATCTGAACTATGAAAACATGAAAATTTGTGATTCAAAGAAACAGAACTGAAATGGAACAAAAGATCTGAATTAGTCACCTCAACTATTTTTCCTCTAGTCTACCACACCACGTGCCAGGGACAATGCTTTTTCTTTAGTATCTGAAAGGGAAGTAAAAATTTTAAACAATGAAAGTCTCCTCTTAGTGTATGCTCCAACATTTTCCTTCCAGCATCAAGTGTATAATGAATAAGAAAAAAGGAGTAAGGCCAGGATTAGCCTTACGGCTGAAAAGCATCCCTAGTGAAAAGAGAATTAGTAAGTTTAAAACTATGCCAAAATATTCCTACACTGGCATTTCTGTAAAAGTATAAGAGTAGTAAGGTAATCTTATCTATAATCTAATCAATATCATGTGTACATCAATGTGTACCTAGGTTAAGTTTATGCTAAACATCTACATATTAAATCATTTATAGATATTTAGCAGAGATTATTTGTATTTTATAAAGAAACTGAGACTCAGACAAACTAGTTATTTATTTAAAGTCAAATACAGTTGAACCTTGAACAATGTGAGGGTTAGGAGCATTTACTCCCCATGCAGTCAAAAATCTGTGTAGAACTTTAACTCCCCCAAAACTTAACTACTAATAGCCTACTGTTGACCAAAAGCCTTATCAATAACATAAGCAGTCAACTGACATATACTTTGAATGTTATATGTATGATATACTGTATTGTTACAATAAAGTAGGCCAGAGAATAGAAAATGCTACTAAGAAAATCATAAGGAAGAGAAAATACATTTACAATACTGTTCTGTATTTATTGAAAAAAAAAACCCTGTATAAGTGGACCCGTGCATCAAACTCAGGTTATTCAAGGGTCAACTATAGAAAAAAGTGGGAAACTGGGATTGAACCTAAGTCTATCTGACTCCAGTGCTCGGGCTCTTTACTGTTTTGCCATTTTATCCCCAATTATGCTTGCTATATAAGCTATATATACTGCCTTCCATATTTGTACAGATCAAAGAACACTATAATGGTTCTCCTTATAGCTCAGCTAGCAGGTCTTAGGAATAGTAACTAAGAACATAGTTTCAAGCACAAGTAAAGCATTAGATTCTACAGAACATCATTCCTATAAAATATAGCTATCCGATATTAAAAAAGAATTCTGGAAACTGAGGGCTATTGGTCCCAAATAATTTTCTCTAATTTCATTCCCTAACCAGTCCAAAAGTTCCACAAAGTTACTACACATCACCAAAAGGAGAACCTCCCTCTACTGGTAAGAGGACTATCGGAAAAAGCAGTGTCTCTTTCTCCGTTTTCTCTTTTTTAGTGTTTTATTTTTCTCTGTATAATTCTTTTGAATCTTAAAGTTTCATACATTTCATTGACTTCCTTCTCTAGGAATTTTGCTAACATGGATTTCATTTGCTCAAAATCATTTGTTAACTTTTTGAAATGTATAGTAATAAAGTAATGATAGAGTTATTATTATACTAGATTGACTAAAATTATCTACTTTAATAATAGACAAAAGAAAATATTCACTAACTGATCATCTTGTTTAAGAATATATACAATATTTATATTCAAGCAAAATATAAATTTGAGCATGTTGATTATATTTGTGGAGGGAGTAAAGCAATTTTCACCTTACCTGAAATCACATGCTGTAGTAAATTCTGCTCCTCCACCCAATGCCCGACCTTGAACCAGCGCAACACTTATTAAAGGGAGTCTGTTTATTGAAGGAAAAAGGAAAAATGGATGTTAATATTTTTCATTTCAATATTAATTTACAAATATTATTTTTGAAAAACTTGAACTACAGTAGAAACAAATTATTGAACTATGTTTGTAACACACCTCAAAGGATAGTGGAACCTTGAGCCTGTATATCATGACAAATAAAGCAGTCTAATTCTTAAGATATAATAATTCACACTAAATGCTATGTAAGTTTATCATACTACCTCCATGAATCATTATATAGTTTAAGCTATTAACTATATTTTATACATATTACACATATATAATATGTAATATAAATAAAATTTATAAAGTATAATATATACTATACATGATATATATACTTTATATTTTTTGTACATTACTGTATTTTGTAACTATATATCATGACTTCCTTACAAATGAATTTTTTAAATATAATATACAGTTTCTACAACTCTTCAGCAGCTGGCAATCAGGAGTAATTCAATGGGACCTTATCTTACTGCATTTGTATTGATGTCAAGTTTTAGATGGCAAAATTTAAGGCTATATCCAAAGGGAGGAAATGTGGTAGAGAAGACTGAGCTCCAAAACTGTATTATAAAGATTCTTACCAAAAGTCTTTTTATTACTCAGTGAAATGATTAATATCTAATCCTATGGAGAGGAATGGGTCTGTGGTAAAAAGAAATCTCTTCACCTTTTCTCTTTGCAAAGAACCACTCCTGGAGGAATATATATTACAACATAAATCTAAAATGCCTTGAAAGAAAAAAAAATTAAAAAAATAAATAAATAAATGCCTTGAAAGTATGGAATATTCTGTAGGTTCTAACCAAAACGCAAATCTGCAGGCCTAAAGTAATGGGAAATTTATTAACAGATTATGTTTCTAAATACAAAGGATTAAAAACACTTTTAAGATTTCTCTAAGAAAAATTCAAATCATAGCGAAGGGAAGGTGAAGTGGTACAAAAACTATGAAAAAACCAAATACAGACTGATGCCCCACTAGTAAATATGCTAAATAACATGAATTTCCTTATTTTTTATAATTTTTAAATTAGTTACATTTGGAATACAGAAGTAGAAAGCTAATTAGCCAAAACGTCATAGTTTGTAACCCCAAATGCATAGTGATAAGCCAAGAAGAATTTTGTGCCTTTTCTTCATCTAGATGCAAAGTGAATCCATTTTCCTCAGGAATCGGTAAAAGCCATCACCAATCCATAGGGCTTTTCCTCTCTCTTCTGGATATACACCACTTCATCATACGTTCTACTAATTTTGAATATGAGGTAATCTTTATGTGTCATCTCCTGAACAGTGTCCTTATTCTGCTCCAATATCAGTATTTAACTTTCCCATGGCTATGCCTAAATATAGCTAGTAATATAAGCTCTTTAGGAAAAGTGCTATGTCTTAAATTCTTTTTATCTCTCCCCTCTCTTATCTTTTAAGTAACTGTGCATACTTCACCAACATTTAATTAAATGGCTCTCCTTGATGGCACAAATAAATAGTTCATCATTAAAATAAATATAATTTAAAAATCAAGTATTTTTTAACTGGTGCAAAACAGAACAAATAAGAGCTATTTTTTTTTTTTTTTTTTTTTTTTTTTTTTTTTTTAGAAATCATAAAGAAAGATACGTTACCTCATAAATCTTGTTAAGGTGTTCTGCATGAACATACATAAGGTCATTCCATCCTTTAAATAAGAATAAGCATAAATACATTATAATGTAAATGTATTATATATGAAATACTTAGAAAGCAACAAAGCCAAAAATATACCCAACTTTTTTTTTATGAGGTTTTCATTTAAAATTCTTTGATGCTGTTAGAAATGCAAATGATGTAGTATTTGATTTTGTTGACTTTCTAGGGCTCCTTGAGCTCTGCATGAGATATTAGCAAAGACTTGGACATGAGAGTCATATTACATACCCCAGAAGAGTGTGAAGTTCTACTCAAGGTAATTTGGGGGAAAGAAGTATAAGATACACCACCTGTTATCCCAAATTCTGATCTCCTAAGAATATATAAAAAACAAATTTCTGGGGCGCCTGGGTGGCTCAGTCGGTTGAGCGTCCGACTTCAGCTCAGGTCACGATCTCGCGTCAGGCTCTGGGCTGATGGCTCAGAGCCTGGAGCCTGCTTCCGATTCTGTGTCTCCCTCTCTCTCTGCCCCTCCCCTATTCATGCTCTGTCTCTCTCTGTCTCAAAAATAAATAAACATTAAAAAAAATTAAAAAAAAATTTCTTAAAAGTACAGTTGACCCTTGAACAACACAGGTTTGAATGGCATGGGTCCACTTATATGTGGATTTTTTATAGTCCAGTACTGTAAATATGTATTCTCTTATGATTTTATTTTTTTACCCTAGAGAGAGACAGCATGCCCAAGCAGGGTGAGGTGGAAGGGGCAAAGGGAGAGAGAGACAGAATCTCAAGCACAATCCACATTCAATTCAAGCAGGCTCCACACTCAGCACGGAGCCCAACACAGGGCTCAATCTCACAACCCTAGGATCGTGACCTGAGTCAAAAGCTAAAGTCGGACGCTCAACCAATTGAGCCACCACCCAGGTGCCCCATTATGATTTTCCTAATAACGCTTTTTTTCTGTAACTTACTTTATTGTAAGAATACAGTATATAATAACTATAACATAGAAAACATGTTAATCTACTGTTTGTTATTGGTAAAGCTTCCCATTCAACAATAAGCTATTAGAAGTTAAGTTATTGGAGTCAAGTTATATGCAGATTATCAACTGCACAGAGGTTGATGGCCCTAACCTCTCAAAAGACTCCCCTCAAAAGTTTCTAATAATCTTCTATTTGTGAAATGGCTTTTTCCTTATCCTTATGTTCCTGTCTCCATTAACACATGGTAGCTTGCTTTGACCAAATTCTGTATTTTGAAATCCTTTTAATTTCTAGCAATATTTCCCACTCCTGATTCTCTTCCTATTTCTTTGATTTTTCCTTTTCAGTTTTTTCTCATTCAGCTAATCCAGTAAATGCATGTATTCCCCAAAATCAAATCCATGATTCTCTTTCTCTTCTTTATCTAATATTTCTTCCTTGAAAGTTTCATTTATCCCCAATGCTTCAGCTAAAATAAGATTTAGAAAGATTGAGTGATTTTTCTAATCACTTACCCAGAAAGTGTTGAAACCAGCATTCAAATCCAAGTCTTATAAAAATTACCAAAAGAGAGCTCTTTCCTCACATTTTTATGCAAATACAGATCATATACTACACAGAGCAGTATGAGTTGTAGAACACCATTAAAACATCATTACAGGGACGCCTGGGTGGCTCAGTGGGTTAAGCGTCCGACTTCAGCTCAGGTTGATCTCGCGGTCCGTGAGTTCAAGCCCCGCATCGGGCTCCGGGCTAAGGGCTCAGAGCCTGGAGCCTGCTTCCAGTTCTGTGTCTCCCTCTCTCTCTGCCCCTCCCCCGTTCATGCTCTGTCTCTCTCAGCCTCAAAAATAAATTAAACGTTAAAATAAAAAATAAAAATAAATAAATAAATAAAAATAAAACATCATTACCTATATACAGCCCAAACCTATAATTAAATGGCAATGATTAAATTTTTCCTTTTCCTTCCTCCCCCCCCACACCTTTTTTTTTTTTAACCTAGGAGATATGGGTGGAAGTTCCTAGGTTCCTTGAAAGATAATGGAAGATGATTAGGATTCCTTTTCTATCAGCGCAGTTAAAAAGCAAATGTTTTAATCATTACCATTTGTTGAAGCCTACTACATGCCAAAGCATTGCTGGGTACTTTATATATGTACCTCATATAAAATTCCTCATCATGAGATGCTAAGGGTCTTCCACTTAAAAGAATTCAAATTCCTGCTGGTTTTAATGGGCTTTGGTGATTGCTAATCTTCTTGCCCTTCCTTTTCTTCCCCTCCATTACTTTACAATATTGCAACCTAATCTATAAGAAGAAAACTAAAACCTCTGACCCTTGGAAGCCTCTTAATATTATCCTGATTATTATGATGATAGCTATCATAATAACCAATGTAAAACATCAATGTCTCAGTGATAAATATCTGACACGCATGTGGAATCTAGTGCACAATTCATAGAATACTTGCCTCTGGAGTCCCTAGTGCTTTCACAGCATTCAAATCAGATCCTGAGGAGAAAGTATTTTTTGCCCCACGGACAATGAGACCTTTCCCCTCTGTCCAACTTTCCAGTTCAATCACTTTTTCCAGAAGTTGTAGAATCATAACTCCTGCCACAGAGAAGAAGACAAATCAAAGTACATAAGATACCAAAAAAACAGAAATAATTTAAAGCCATCAGGCATCAAACATGACTCTTAGATCCTACATTTGATAGATATTTACTAAATATCTATCAAATGCCTATTGTGTTGGTACCATGGGGTATACACAAAAGAGGTATACATGACAGCCCCTGCTTTCAAAGTTTACAATGTTAGTAACCTTTCTCTGTCTGAATTAAGAAATCAAACAAATACATAGCTAGGTAGAAAATGAGAATATATCATACATGTCCTAGGAATAAGAAAATTAAATAAATAAGGGTATGGTGGTAAGAAAAAATTATTCCTTAGGTAAAAATCAAATATAGTCCTGGGGCAACTGGGTGGTTCAGCCGGTTGAGCCTCCGACTTCGGCTCAGGTCACGATCTCACGGTCTGTGAGTTCAAGCCCCGCGCTGGGCTCTGTGCTGACAGCTCGGAGCCTGGAGCCTGCTTCAGATTCTGTGTCTCCCTCTCTCTCTGGCCCTCCCCCATTCATGCTCTGTCTCTCTGTCTCAAAAATAAATAAACATTAAAAAAAATAATTTTTTTTTAAAATCAAATATAGTCCTGACTTCACAATAGTACATGTTGTCTTAGGCAACAAGCTCAACAAGCATTATTAAAATCAACAAGCTCATAACAAGAGTTATGCCTGTATTCCTAACTCAAATATAGTTCTCCCAGAAGACTGAGATCTTACAATCTATTGGGTATATGGTATACAAAACAAAGTATAATATTCCTACTCTACTCACATGAGAACTATTATAATAGATGTTAGTTCAGGAAAGGGATAGTACATAGCATCTTGTTCCACAGCTGACAGACTATGTTCTGAGTAGCCCAAGGCATACTCTGAAAGTACTTCATAGGCTGCCAATAAGATGCCTACCAACCATCAATGCTATGATTTATAGATTACATTTTTACCTTGATATCATTCCAAAATTCTACTGGAGTTTCTTTATAATGAACAAATTTTAAATGGGAATAGGAAGGACTGTAATTCTTTTTTTTTTTTTTTTAATTTTTTTTCAACGTTTTTTATTTATTTTTTGGGACAGAGAGAGACAGAGCATGAATGGGGGAGGGGCAGAGAGAGAGGGAGACACAGAATCGGAAGCAGGCTCCAGGCTCTGAGCCATCAGCCCAGAGCCTGACACGGGGCTCGAACTCACGGTCCGCGAGATCGTGACCTGGCTGAAGTCTGACGCTTAACCGACTGTGCCACCCAGGCACCCCAGGGCTATAATTCTTATCTGTGGTGGTCTTCCAAGTTCATAAAGTTCATAATGCTGTCAACATGATTAAGTTTACTCTTTGTAAGAAAATATTTTAGAAGCCAATATAAAGATCATAACAGAAGGTTAAAACTGGCAAAGACTCTCTGTATCACAAGGTTCCAAAACTTACTATACAGGCCCCATTAAACTATGTATACTATTCTGGAACATAAACCCCAGGATATCAAGAACTATTATTTTCTTTGCCATTTTCTGAAGTAACCAGTAAGGAAGTAGTTCCACAATAAATGTTAATGTTATTGATTCGCAAGTAGATTCCACATGTATAGAAAGTTAGAATCCTTTCCAACTGCTAATTATGACCTAACTAAAATAGTAGCCCTTCCCAAGGATGTTCTAGGTGTTTTATAAATATAGTTCTTGCTCTCAAAATTTATACAGTCCAGTAGCATTTAACAAAAAAATAAAAATAAAAATAAATAATTTAAAAAACACAGTCATTTAGCACAAGAATAAATCTATATAGATAAATATGGACCTTCAATCATCCCTAATATTTAAGCTTCTAAAAAAATGGCCTTAAGTATGAGACATCTATACTAGTAGTTAATCTTGAACTCATCTTTTTCTACTCTGGTAAACTAAGCATTAAGTGTTAGAAGAAACCTTAAAGAGTAGCTGGTTGGGTAATTTTCAAACCAGAGCCTTGAGGTTTGAAAATTGTGTGGTGTGGGGCTCACTCAACTTCTCCCAGACCAAGTCAACCAAACACCATTACCCAAGTCAAAGCATCTCTGCTTGTATTCATTTTAAACATCAGCCATCAAATTAGTATTTGTTTCCATTTGAATAAAAATCTTTACTAATATAAATTATTTGTACCTATTCAGTAGTAAATTAGACTATTAATCTAGTCTAATTTTCTAGAGCAGTCTTTTCTAATTTTATTTTTCCTAGGTTAATATTAAAATTGGCTTTTTTATTCTCTGAACCAATTGAGGGTATGGAGTTGCATGGTCCAATAGAGTAGCCACCATCCATATCTAGCTACTGAGCATTTGAAATGTGGCTAAACTGAGATGTGCGTTTATGTGTAAAGTACACACCACATTCAAAAAGTTGGTATAAAAAAAGGGAAAACAACATATAAATAATTTCTCATATGAGTCACATGTTGAACTATTAATATACTGGGATAATAAAGTACTTTATTAAAATTAATTTCATGGGGCGCCTGGGTGGCGCAGTCGGTTAAGCGTCCGACTTCAGCCAGGTCACGATCTCGCCGTCCGTGAGTTCGAGCCCCGTGTCGGGCTCTGGGCGGATGGCTCAGAGCCTGGAGCCTGTTTTCGATTCTGTGTCTCCCTCTCTCTCTGCCCCTCCCCCATTCATGCTCCATCTCTCTCTGTCCCAAAAATAAATAAACGTTGAAAAAAAAAATTT